CCCCCCCCCCCCCCACACACACACACGGGTTCTGAGGATTGGATTAAGTTTCCAGGCATGTGTGGCAAGCACTTTCACCCACTGAACCATCTCCCCAGCCCTGTTCTTGTTTTTAATCACTATTACATTCAATGTGGGCCACACAAAGATCTACTAAAGAGGCTTTATGGACATTACAGGATGAGACACTGAGAGTTTCTAGGTAACTGCTAGGTGTTCTAAAGAACAAACAAGAAGGAACTTGTATAAACACACTATGTCAAAGAACGTATCTGTACACACAAGTCACAGTGGGAATAAATACCAGCTTTATTAACACTCAAAGTGCCATCATTTATATCCATCCCATAGTCCAGAAGTTTACTGAGAGTAAGCCTCTGTACCACAATCTGTCCAAAGATGAACAGGAAAGAAAAAGTATGTCTCACTGTACTAAATATTGCAGGCCTCCATGCATGACAAATCTAAATAAAGATGTGTCGATAATACACAAATTGACATATAACAAAGTCATTATCACTAACAAAATATAAACATGGTTTCTTTTATATTAAATTTTTAAAAAGCTATTTACCAGCAAGAGAAAAATACATAGAAATTATAAAACTCAAGAGATTTTACACAATTTTTTACAAGAACAATTCTGAATGAACAACAAACCCAAAGTGTGTGTGAAATGTGGTACATACTACACTGTGTCTGGCTTATGGTAGGTTCTAGTCACATGGGTTCCTTTCAACCTAATAAGCTTAGTGATAGTGAACGTCAACTGTAGACTTTATTCCTAACACAAATCATTTCATAACACCACACAATTTTAGAAGGCTTCCATTCAACATTGAATACAGTAACATTGTCAGACGGGAAACCTAATTTCCAACTCTTTCTGCCAGTTTCTTAAAACACACAGCACAGTATAAAAGATACACCGAGTATTTGGAGATTCCTAACACAATGGTAGTCAACTGTGAAGAATCACAATATGCCAATGCATTGTTTCATAAACTGTCTAACTTTGCTCAGTAAGAGAAAAATTAAAGCTTGAAAACTTTGGAAATAAAGGAAATATTCAAAAGCAATAGCCGGACAGGTCTAAAGTAATGGAAATATAAAAATCTTGGCATGTCTTCAAGACAATTTAGTTTCTCACATTTTTAACAGCTTTGAGAGGTCAAAGGCCATGTCAGTGGACAGTGTGTTTCGCTACTGTTTTAACAATCTCCCACCCCACCCCCCAAAAAGGATGTTAGTTGCAAGAGTATTTTAACTGAGCTCTAAGCAAAATTTGTATCCAGTTCTGGAACTACAGATGCTTTAAATGGTTAAAACCAAAATTTTAAAAATAATTTTGAACAGCCAGATGAAAATATAGTATAGTGTATATATATATATTTATAGTAAATAATCTTTCAGAAAGCCTTTACATATATTTATCATAAAGTTCTTTAAATTGTAGAAATGAAATGAAAATAAGAATTTACTCAGATATATACATGTGCCTACACACAGAAAAGGACATCTCCACACAAACACTTATCTCTTGATACAGAATACTTTCAACCTAGGAACTGATTCAGAATACAGGATAAAATTTGAATGCAACACTGAACTCCTGAGTTCCTCAACAAAGACAGAACCACACAAGGTAACTTTGCAAAAGCAAAAAAGTCCTACTAAATGTTGTAGCAGCGTAGTAACTGAGGGCTACATTTGGGAAGAAGTGCAAACACGAAGACAGTAGTTCAATGCACACACTCATGATTCTCAGACACTCAACAATTATTGGTCATATAAATCAGTGTACAAATTAAATGTTTGGAAAATGTGCAAAAAAGTCAACATTGATAAGAAACAAAAATATACATAATTATAAACTGCCCAGTATTCAACTGAGATTAAAAATATTTGCTGAAAATAATACATTAAATATAGAGAATTTAATGGATACATTTTAAATTTACAGTAAGTCAAAGGGTAAATTTACAAATTGATAATCATAGTTTGTAAGATAAAAGTTTATTTTAAAATTTATCCAAGTTTATTTACAATGAGTAAAAACAACCACATGAAAGAGATGTTAGACATTAAAAGTATTATTTTTTTGGTTTTAACTTTGTTAGAATATTTCAGAATGCAGGCTGAATTTTAAAACCAACATCAATAGAAGAAATGTAAACCTTTTAATTACTAATTATAAAAAAAACCCACAACTGTCTTTAAAGAAGTATTCTCGTCCCTAGAGAATGTAGTTTTAACCCACAAGGGTTTGGCCTATTTCCTTTTGCCCATAAGCCTTTCTGGCTTGTAGCTTCCCACTAGCCTACTCTCCTTTCTGCAGGTGGGAAAAAGTCTTTGGAAAAATGAGAACATGTCAAAATATCCTGGAGTCCAAGAGTCTACTCAAGTTTAACATATATTTACTTATCTTCCCTTCTAAGTAATGCTAATGGTAAAATCACTGATTACACAGGGTTTTTTTTTAAGAAATTATAAAACATACAAATAAATGAACACAAAGTGCTTTTCTCTCTGGCATTACAAGATTCAGAAATCCGAAGTAGGGGACAAATTCTGTAAGCTTTATAGAACTAGAGAGCAGATGCTTCTGTATGTTCCAAACTGTCTATGGCACAAAGCAGACTTCAATTCATAACCTACTTTTCTTCACAGCATTGTCAAAATGTCCCTTATGTCAAACACAAGCTCAAAAATGTTAAGACACTATAAAGAAAATAAGCCACCAATCTGAGGAATCAGATGTCAGTACAAATCTACATACATCAGTGATTAAATGATGTTAATAAGATTGGCACACATACAAACTCAAGTCTGCAGTATCTATATAACAACTCCACAATAGTTTAAGGAGATTCTGCATGTCTAAATGCAAACACTGAGCACCTGTCCTTTTCCTTGAAGGATAGATTGGCATACAAATTCTACTAGCATCTGCTCTACCATTTATATACTATTAGCTTATACTAGCAGATTTAACAGGGCTAGTCATTTTGGCTATATGTGCAGGGAATACAAAAGCTTTGGTTTAAAGTGATTCTGGTAATACAGACTGAGCTACAAACAAACATCATCAGGCAGAAGGACAGGAGTATTCTCTTGTTTAATGTCTTTGCTGCTAGGGAACAATACCTTATGACTAATACCTTATGAATGTCTATTAAAATTCACAAACACAAAACCACCAAGAATTATGTGAGACTGTACATAGACAATGGATACAATTTATTCTTTTCTTTACTATAGCTATGACTCCTCCCTTGCATTCCTGAAGCTTAACCTGTACCACTCTTAGTACCTCTGAGAAAAGAAATGTCTATGTTCCCCTGAAAGCTTATCATCTCCAGCTCTGAAAGGTGAGAATGGAGAGAAGGATGTCCCTGGTATTTCCACAGCTCTTATGGCATCCTGTTTAGATAATGGGAGAAGTCAAAGCAACACTAAAGATACCTATGTAGTAGGAACAGTGGCATCACAGCACACCTTCCTTAGCCAACCAAAAAGAGGTATAAGAATATTTCCTTTTGAAGACTTGGTAAGCTAAGGAAGCTGGTTAGGTTGGATAATGTCTGGCAGAATTTCTATTCCAAAAAGTTCATAAAGAAATATCTAAGACTGAATACTTTCTATTTAAGAATTATATATAAGCTAATTATCATATACTCAACACACAAATTGAATTTTAATCTACTTTTAGCAACTAAGAGCTTGGCAATTTACAATAAATACCTTTATTAAACCATCATTTGCACTAGCTACTTAGGGAAAATATACTGGCATGCCTACTTGAGGGTGATTATTATCATCCCACATTAGTAGATCATACATTTTCAGTTGTTCTTCCAAGAACAAAGACAGATCTAACCAAACAACTACACTATCCTTCCTACCCCTGCCCCAGCTCCAAACACACACACACACACACACACACACACACACACACACACACACACTTACTTACTTCACAGAACAGTAAGCTAGAGTGTTAGTCAAAATGTTAAACACTAAGGATTAGAATCCACTGTTCCTGGATTTCTTGCTCATTGCCTCAACCTTTGTAAAACACTTAAAAGAGTGCTTTAGGAAAAGACAACAACCCTAGTTATATGAAAATCATAACCAAATAATAATGCACAAAGAACTTGGACAGTGCCAGTATGACTGAAAATCATGTAATCAACTCAAAAATCAATTTACTATGTCTTTTAGAATGAGAATACCTTTCTATAGTTATTCTAGGAATTCACATCTAGTGGAGATTGCAATCAGATAAATGCTTCTGTTTCTCTCCTAACTTTTTTTAAAGGAGGTAGTAAGGGTAAGAGGAGAAAATAAGCATTAAGAAACACAGGGGCCAACACACAGTCTAAGGCCAAATAAACTCTTGAGGCCTATTGATTTTGGAAAACTTCATTTTGTTAGGTGATTTGAATTACAAATATAAAATAAAATTAAGGCATACAGAGAAAAAGGCACTACTAAAAATTAACAATTTGCTTTTCATTGAAGTTTAACCAGTGTTAAAGTGAAATAAATATGAATGTTACATCTAAAAAACACCACCAGATTTAGTAATAAACTATAGGGTCTCAAAAAAATCTGATCTTAGCATAAGAAATACTTGGTGCGAGAATCTCTATCAATTATTTTGGGTATTTCAACACCTAAAACTAAAATAAACTTTTGGGATTTTTTTCCCTTAAAACCAAACTAAAACAGTAACAAAAGCTGGGTCAGGGAGAACCCCAATACAGTGTACTAAGGAATAAATGCTCCATTGTCACAGAACATTCTGGGGCTGTTTTGTGTAGTAAGAGCAGTTTCTGACAGAGGTTGCCTAACCTGGGATATGGGGATAGTTTTACTCTAATCCTTCTTGTTAATGTTTTTGTAGTCTATAATAGCCAACAATTACCCAAAATTTCTTCCTTATTATTTCATATAAAAATCCTAGCATTTTAAACATACTGCTAAACTTTCAGAGTTAAAGTATGCCATAAAGTAACTGCCTGCCCATACTCTTCCTCAACTATAACTTCCTGAAGTGTGTTAATTTAATGTGACATAGCACATTACAATTGTTGAGTAAGAAAATGAAAAAGAGTGACCCTATTTTTTAAAAAAATAAACAGACAAAGCTGGGTGTGGTGGTGCATCTTTGTGTGGTGGTGCACCCCTGTTTTCCCAACACCTAGAGGCAGAAGCAGGAGCATTGACGTTCCAGGCCAGCCTGAAACAGAGTAGAACCCTGACTCCAAAACCACAAATTAAAATAAGACTGATAGATTTTTGTACCTAGTCGACTCCAGCTGAATTTATATAAAGGTTCTCAGACCCCAAATGAAACCTCTGGCATGAACTCTGCCATTAGCAAAGGAGTCTGCATCGTGCTGGGTCATCAGCCAATCTATTCAGGTTTGATTTTCTTTTCTTAGTGATTTCACATATTTTATAACAACTATATTTCAGAAATAGTATAGATCAGACCTGACCAATGTCAGAACTTAGCAGAAAGCCATTCTAAAGATGTATTCTTACTTTTTATGTAATTTCTATTGGGAACAAGGTAAGACTCAAATGAAAGCCAATTCAATTTATTCTGAAATAAAAGTTTTAATTTGTCTTTTATAGTCCAGCATGTGCATTAATATTCAACTTCTCATATGTTGTAGATTGTGCCTCTTAATACTTTCTAAGGCAATAGTTATAGATGTTTTTAAAGTTAGAAATATATTTTTGTAAACAAGGAAAAGTGCTGAAAGTTTTCAAGGCATTCATTCTGAAAACCTCAAAGTATGTATAACTTCAAAATACTTAAATACCAATCCATCAAAAATTGTATTAGTTATGTTTTTCAACTCTTTTATTCAACTACTTTTGTTTGCACTGCAAAAGGTCTTCGCTTGACTCATTCCTGTCATGCCACTTTGAATCTCTTAGGGCCTAGGCAGAAGGTGCTTCCTGAAAGCACATCTGACGCTGCTAGTGGATCTAGCTCCAGCACCGGAAGTCTGCTACTGGCAATGCAGAATGCATTTAAAGGCACAAAGTCAGCAGTCTGGCCATTTTCCAGCCACAAAGAAACATTGCAGTACCAAAAGAATCAGTTGTGCATTTAAAAAAAAACAAAATACATTTAGAGTAATTTTTAAAAATTCAAACTTCATCTGTTAGCCCATACTATTAAGCAGAAAAAATGGAGTGTAATTATTTTACTTCCTTTGACAAAATTGTTTCCTTTCAAAAAAAATCCTTTTATATTTACTATTGACCTTCCATGTCCCATACCCTTATCTACTTCAAGCTTTTTTGCTCTAGCAGGGTTTGCTTTTACACACACACACACACACACACACACACACACACACACACACACACACACACGTGTATTGTGTGTGTGTGTGTGTGTGTGTGTGTGTGTGTGTGTGTACTTTTATACATATATATGGGAATATATATGTATGTCAATAAATTTCCATTGTGTTTTGGTAACTTCACAACTGGTCTGAAATAAATTCACATCATATTCAATATAATAACTCTGTAAACTATTAGTCTATTTTTAAGTCTTTATAAGTTTATTTTTCTTTTAAAGCAAAAGTATTCTGATGCAGCTATTAACTACTGAATTTAGGAAAGCAATAGGAGACTGTTTAAAAAGCTAACAATTGCTTTGAGTTCCAGTGTGCAGGTATCTTTTTGAAGAGTGTTTGTCTCTCTTCTGTACTGCACGTTACCCTGATGGACCAAAAATGAGCCAAAGGGAAATAACAACCAGAGACAAAGAAACAGCAAAACAAACAACAAAATAAAACCCTAGCAATCCAGGTACCATGATTTTGCTCAAGTAGAAAAGATGCCCTCACTCATAAAAGACAAAGAAATTACAACACACCCACACATGAGGTTTCCAGCATAAGATTAAGATGTGCTGAGGTGAGAGGCACCTGATGCTTGTTCTTTTTAAGGGGCTTCCTTTGCTTTACAGTGTACAGGAGAAGTGTTAACTAATATTTTGTGCTTTGACTCAGACTACTAGAATTTCAAAAATTATTACAGGGTATGCCAGATAGGATCTTGATACATTAAAGCCAGATCTACATAACTGCAGAAGCAAAGTACTTTAAAAAATACCTAAATAAACATACCTTGTAACAACAACAAAAAAAAAAATGAGAATTTTATTTAGTCCCTTCTGATGAAAAGTATCACATTCAGGGTCTCCTGGAAGACTGTTATCATCTACACTTTTGAAAATAAACTACTTAGCACTTGGTTTAATATGCTGAAAAATTTACAAGTGGCCAAATTACTGACACCTTCATGTTTTTCAGGTCTCATAATTCTACTAGAGACAGCAGGATCCTCTCCAGCTTAGTCTTTCCATTTAATGACATGGCTCCAAGTAGATGCACACACTGGAAATATCTGGCAGTGTTTTAACCTTCCCTCTGCCAGTAAACACTTTGTTTTGGTGTACTTTTCTGGGTCTAGAAGGATGAACTGACTGTTAAGGAAAGAATATAAAGAGATGATAAATTCAAAAGGTTCAATACTTGGATTATTTCTAAAGTGAGAGTGAGTGATTCAAGTGCAATCAGCAGCTGTCAAGGACCAACTGATCTGCTGTGTGGAGGCTGTTCATCCCTGACTAATCATCACGTCTCTTATGACCCTCATTTGCCCTGTATCTTTCCTCTGAAATCTGTTTTTACCGCTTTGTGAATGGCTGCTTTCAGCTTATAATTGGGTTTTTATTCTAGGCACTTCTGCCATCTGTGGCAAGATAATTCCTTGGAAGGGAGTCCTTTTGTACTAAAGTCTGTTTAGCTGCATCGCCCAAACCTTACCCACTAGATGCTAGTAGTACCTTGCCAGTTATGACAACGAAGTGTCTCCAGGCATTGCCAAATGCCAAATGAAGTGAAAAGACTCCCCACCACTGACCTCAGTTTTACCTGATGTTTGTTATTCTGAGGTGCCTCTGGCTTAGTACTCTGTGATCCCAAGAACAATGGTTTTACTTCATGATGGGAGCCTTAACAGATGAGTACTTGAGTTAAAGACTGCTTCCTACTGGAAACCAGGGGCTTGAAATAGGAAGATATTATACAAAATTTTTTTTATCATTTCTCAGTTCCCTTCATTTTGGGACTTTCCCCTCAAGTAAACAATGTTTAAAATACACCAAATGACAGTTGGTTGTTTTTGTTCATTATTTCTACTGGTCTTTTCTACTGCTCATACATTTAATGAACAGTCGTCTGTGTTTTAGTTGAATTTACTCATTGGCTTCACATAATCTGCTTTCAAATACAACAGTATTTTTAAGCAGAAAGCTATCTCCCAAGGACTATAGATTTCAGTAACATGGGTCTACTATATTGTATTTGCCTATTATACTGCTTAGGAGTAGCAAACATACCTCTTAAAGAGATTCGCCTCTTCTTTTCAAGATTCCTACTGAGCAAAACAGCTTGACAGACAGAGGATAGCATCTAAAGAATACAGACATAAGAAGGAACCTATATTCTTTAAGTTGAGTACCTACCCTAAACTAAAGTTTAGAGCTCAACCCCACAAATAACGATCTATTTAAATACTATCACTAAAAACTACAAATTGTACATCACTTTCTTCTCTTTGTCTTCCATGTCAGTGATACAGGGCAAGACTACAATCTTTATATATTTCAAATGATTTGTTTGTACTAAAAAGAGCAACTATGTACTAAAGTGCTTTATATCTCTGAACCACATCAGTACATTATAAAAATTTTTTTAAAAAAAAGTTTCAAGTTCTTGTAAAGAAAAAAAGATTAAATATAAAAAATTTAGTTGACTATTATTATTAAACAAATTTAACCAAGAATCAAGAGAAACATTTTCCCTCTTGTCTTTTTCTCCCCATCTCTCATTTTTATAAAAAAGGAAAGTGCAGTAAGAGAGAAGGTGAACTCGAAGATGGAGCTGGTGGAGGCACAGAAGCTGCCGCTGCTCCTGCTAATGCACGAACATGTGCCGCAAGAGCTCCTCAGCTGACGGTCGCAGTTTGGCCTCTACAAAAATCCGTTTGAGGAAGTCTCGAGTATAGTCTGAGACATGAGGTGGCAGCTTTGGGTTTGTTGGCTATTTGGCGATCTTAAAGATGGCAGCCATTGCTTCAAATTCAGCCCAAGGTGGCTTTTCAGTTAGCATTTCTACCACAGTACATGCTACACTCCTAAAAAGAAATAAAAAGAAGCATTATCCAAGCAATAATTTTAGGAAAGAAAGCTGGTTAGCCAAGAAAATGAGAAACTTGGATAAGTCCACATATAGTTTAATATTACTTATTTCAAATATGAAGTTTCACTCAAAGGTTAATTAAATAAAACTGTAATTCAAACATAAAAATCAATGAAAGGCTGGAGGACCTAGTATACATTTCAATGAAAATATATAATTATCTATGATCATAAATGTATGGTTAGGCAATGAACTTTATTATTTTTGGTTTAGATTATTTTCTATCATTGATATTAATTTTTTCTCCACCCTACAAAGAATACAAATACTATAAATTATTTGCCTTCAAGTTCCTAAAATGAATAATTTTTTTTTGGTTGGGACTTGAGAAATGGCCATTATATGACCTATTCTAAAATTATTATATAACTTATTAATTCAATGTTAAGACACTAACAACTAAACACACAGCCCCATGACAGAGCCCCTGCCAGAGGTATAGGCACCAGCATAATTCCTCTTCTTCCTTACCTGGAAGACTTGTAGATACCTTAAATCATCCAGAATCCAATAACGTATTTTCCAAAAACAACAGAGCTAAGCATATTATGAAAATACCATTATCACACCACCACCACAGCAACAGTTTTTATTTCTGTAAAGCAATTATCAATTTATTGTAAATAATTATATGTTTCACATTCAAGATCCTTGGAAAATCTGATGTTGCAATCAAACATAATTCAGCTATTAATGGGAATCTCCTTGTTCTTCAAACACATAAATAGAATTATATGATGACCCATTCAGAACTGCATTGCTGCACTGTAAGGTTTTAAATTTTTAAGTAAATATCCCTGCAATGGACCGTTTGTAGAGTCTAATACATCCCAGCCCAGGGTTATGATACGGAGTCAAGATTCATGCTAGGGTAGGTGGGTGAGGAGTGATGAATTCATCTCCTCAGGTAATCTCATAACCCACTCTTACCCCAACCATTACTTGTAGCCTCACCCATCTCACACAGGTAGCTATTATCTGTTTTCAAATGTTTATACATACCTTTGTGACTTAAAAGAAAACCACTGATTCATTTGTTTTGTTTTGTTTTTATAAGAGACTGACAACCAAGAGTACTTTAAAAGTTACTCAGGGAAATAAGAGGGTTTTTTGTTGTTGTTGTTTTGTTTTGTTTGTTTGTTTGTTTTTTGTTTGTTTTCCCGGAGACAGGGTTTCTCTGGATTGCTTTGGAGCCTGTCCTGGAAATCGCTCTGTAGACCAGGCTGGCCTCAGACTCACAGAGATCTGCCTGCCTCTGCCTCCCCAGTGCTGGGATTAAAGGCATGTGCCGCCAATGCCCAGCTTGAAATAAGAGCTTTCTTTCTTTCTTTCTTTCTTTCTTTCTTTCTTTCTTTCTTTCTTTCTTTCTTTCTTTCTTTTTCTTTCTTTCAAGATTTATTTATTATGTATACAGTCTTCTGCCTGCATGTCAGCCTGCAGGCCAGAAGAGGGCACCAGATCTTATTACAGATGGTTGTAAGCCACCATGTGGATGCTGGGACCTCTGGAAGAGCAGCCAGTGCTCTTAACCTTTGAGCTATCTTTCTAGCCTGGAATAGAGCTTTCTACTGTTGAGATTTCCACAGGACAAAAATCCTTCCTAAAGAAGAAAATATGTTCAAAGACTCAAATATTTAGTCAAATTAGCCTTGATACGTTATAGCTGAAATGGCTTACAATTCATATATCCTACTTCCAAAGTACACAGGACAATTTAAATCTGTCAATTTCAAATGTGGATAATATTCTAGGCCAATCTGACACCCAAACTTACCAGATATCTGCTTTTCTGCCATAGCCTTCTCCACTAATGACCTCAGGACTCATCCAGTATGGTGTGCCTGTGACAGACTTCATTCCTGTGCCTGAGAGACAGATGGTCTGAAGCCGTTTGCTAGCCCCAAAGTCTCCTAATTTGATATTGCCAGTGGAATCCCTTAAGATATTTGCTCCTAAAAATAAGAAATAGTCTCATTTCAATGATTTTATTGGCATTCTAGAATATATGTAAGTGGCAGAGAATGACTTTGTAGATCATAATCTGTCCCCAAATGAGGTTGCCTGTCTACTCCCAGTAGTGCCTGGCATGCCTCTGCTGTTTATATATCACCTATCCAGATGTTTCAGAACTAATGAGCTTCTCATATATAGGATGGGGTAGGGGCAGGTGAGGTGAAAAGAGAAAGGGGAAAGGGCTAAGAATAAAAAGCTTGGTGAAGCACCAAGAAAGGTTCTGATTCCATTTGTTTGCTATAAAGCAAGAAGTCCAGAGCTGAAGATTATTTTCCTGATAAACCAGCTTCTCCTCAGGAACTTCCAAAAGGACCTTCATAATCAAAACTTTTAGCATCATTCCCCTACTTCAATATTATTGAAGCATTAGTTACCTGTACTTTAAGGAGTTCTTTTGTTGTTATTTTTAATTCAAGGCTTTACTATGTATCTCAGACTGGCCTCAAACTTGAGATCTTCCCGACTCCAGCATTGGGATTACAGGTACATACCACCATGCTACATTTTTTTCTTTTAATGGTTTTTATGGAGAAGGCTGAATAGTTCAGATAATCTACATTACAGACCATAGAGAATACAGACTCTTCATCTTCACTATCAGCTTCTATTTTCCCAGAAAATTCCCCACCCTTACCAACAGTAATTTCCACAGCAGTCTAGGATCCTTCTCGGCAAAACCTATTAAGCCTGTCTGACCCTCCAGCAATCTGCTTATGTAGCTCTGCTTGCTTACGATCTTCTACCATCTAGTATGTGAAAGAGGACTCAGAAAAAACATCCAACCATCTCTAGAATACTTAACCACAAAGAAGCAAAACAGACCTTTTTGTTTCCTTGAGACTGTGGTCTTGCCATGTTGTTCAGGCTGGCAACTGGAACTCTTGGGCTCAAGTGAGCCTCACAATCCTCCTATTTCAGTTTTCCTGAGTAACTGAGACTATATGTTTAATAAGCTGGATTTTACTGGCTACAAGCAGAGATCACCTTCCCTACACAGACACATGGGAACCTGGCTGATCACCCACAGGAGGAGCTGGGGAAAAATAGGCAGCCAGGTTCCAAACAGTTTTCTGGTTTTTAAACTATATTTTAGTAAATTAAAAAATAAGAGTTATCAAACATATGCAAAGGTAGACAGAATTGTTTATGTTCCCATTACTCAGATCCAGCAGCCAACTAGACAACTAAAAGCTAAAGCAAAACAAAAAATACTAAGGATGGGGAGATGCCTCAGTGGGTAAGGGTACTTTATGTTCAAGCATGAGGACCTGAATTCAGATCCCCAACATACATATAAAAACTGGGTGTATCTGCATGTATCTGTAATCTCAGTGCCTGCGGCATAGACAAGAGGATGAATAGTACTCCTGGCCAGCCAACTTAGCTGGAAAATGGTGAGCTGCAGATTCAGTGATAAATCCTGACCCAAGAAAACAAGATGGAGAGAGACAGAGCAGGCATTTCCTGTCATCTTCTGGCGTGCATGCCTGCTTGTGCATGCCCATGTGTGCACACACAAATAAAACCATTAAGAAAATAAAGGGTCCTTTTATTAACTATTTGGTATTCAACAGTATAGTTCCTCCCCTTAGCCCCCCAATATATACACCAGGCTGGCTTTGAACTCATAGAGATCCGCGTGCATCTGTATCTGCTGCAATTAAAGGCATTTACCACCAAGCCTGTCAACAGTTTAGTTCCCTGAAAGGAAAAAAGAATAGGACCAGGAGAGACGGCTCAGTCAGTAAAGGTACCCTGTGATATACATGGTGGAAGAGAAGAAACTCCTTCAAGTTGTTCTCTGCCCTTTGTGAATGCTCTGTGGCACTAGCACACATGTGTATACACACACTAATAAATAACATGTGATGAATTTAGAGGGGTGGGGGAGAGAGAAGGCAGAAGAGGGGAAATAGGGAGGATGGGGGAATAAACTTTGGAAACGAGTTTCCCAATAGTAATGATCTTCATCTTTGTTATGATCTGACAGGTCTGAAATTACACAAAATCAATTATCTTTACCTTTCTGTTTGCCATTTATAAAATGTTCATACAAATTAGAAGGCACAGAACAGGTAAAAAGTATATTGTAGAAAACAAATACCACTATATTGCCATTTGGTAACCATCATTTTCCTTCTGTCATGATTAAATTTACAAATTTGAGACCCTATTTTGGTATCTTATTTTTCTCCCTTATCAATATATTTGTCCTGTAATATTTTCATATCAGCCTGTTTCCATTTCCCTTTGCTTGACCAAGGAGGTTCATCATACTTTCTGGTAAAATTAGATCAATCTATACAGATGATAGGTCCCTCTGTTTTTCTTACTTCATTTTGAGGGCTAACGAGAAGTTGGCTTGACTAGGAATAGATATTCCTAATTGAATAATTTCTTTAAGCTATCAGTTTTTATACTTAATAAGCCCCACTCTAGTGCATGTGGCCTGCCTCAGGAATTCTGCATATTAGACTCATACTAGAAATTACTGTTCAATTACCAGATATGATTGGCAATTTTCTTCTTGTCCTAATGTGAACCCAGTCAAGATGCACCCCCACCATATGAAAAAGCAGAAGTCTGGGAACTTGAAAGAGGAACACGATCAATGAGTAAATTTTTTACTCAGTGCTTTCTAAATTTTGGGGCAAACCCCAGTTTTTAAAGACTCAGATAGGCTCCAAAGTAAAGAGTTCTTAGCACTTTCAAATTTTACACATCTCTACCATTAACTCACTTCACAGACTCATTCCTATATCTGATCCCTGGGGAAAAGTGAATTTACCCTAGCTGGAGTTCATCAAAGCTCAGTCTTGGAATCTTTCCTTCCTTCCTCTTTGTTCTTTCATGACATCTATTCCCATGACTTTAAATACAATTGCAACACAAAGTATGTCATCACAGTAGCTAAGTTTTAAGTGCTGAGCACCAGGCATTGGTTTAAACACTGCAACATATCAACACATTTGATCCTTCCAAGAATCCTATAAATTGAACACTATTATGACTCTAACTTAAGAATAAGTAAAAGAGAGAACAGTGGATGCATCTCAGGGGTAGAGAACTTGCCTAGTATATGCAATTTCCTAGGATCCATCTCCAGAAATTGGGGGTGTGCACCATGGGGAGGGAAGAAAAAGACAGAGGAGGAAAGTGAGAGGGATGGAAAAATTAATGAGGAATGAAGACACAAGAAGATTAACATGTCCAAGGTTTTAGTTAATAGCAAATGAGCCCCAAGTTGAATCCAACTCTGATGGCAGAACCCTTGCTCACTGCCCTAATGCCCAGGCAATACAAACACAAACATGGTCATGTTATTCTAAGGGTGTTTGAACGAAACTGATTCTATGGATCCTTATATCAAAGTTAATCATTCATGTAGCCTCAAATTTTAGAACTACTCTGACAGGACCTTTAACAGAGTTAGTTCATGAGAAAGCTGGAGAACCAGTTCCCTATGGTAGTTTACAGTTTTAGTGTTCAATGCTTTGATATTTTTTTCATCCACACTCACACAAAACTGTATTTAGAGTAAAAAGGAACTCATGACTTACCTTTGATATCTCTGTGGACAATCATATTACTATGCAGATAGTGGACCCCCTCCAGAATCTGACGGGTGTATTTCCTAGTCACATTCTCTGTAAGAGCTCCGTATGCTTTTAGTTGGTCCTTAATTGAACCCTAGGATAAAAGAAAACAACTAAAACTCCCACTTAAATTAAAAACTGCTACTAAATGTTTTTAAGAATTCTCAGTAAAAAAAATATGCAGAATTACTGTTCTTTCAAATTATTTATGTTGAACTAATCTCTTTGAAATGAACAAATTACAAGTCTTTCATATTTGTAGTGCCTTTAATACAACCCCAATTTGTTTTCCAAAAATAATGTTTAAGCCAACTTACACATGAAACAGAGTAATTGAAAATATAAAAGTAGTCGCAAATAAATCCAGTGAGTAGCAATGGTATGATAAGCAGCTATACCTAATGGTAAAAGTACACTGTGCTTGCACGACACTGATGATGGTCAACAACTGAGCTATAAGCTTAAATGGCAACCTTGAACTTCAACATGGAACTCTAGGTATCTCCTTCCATAAAGACCCATAAATCAAACTTCTTCTTCCTAACTTGCTCTATTAAGTTAGGAGAATACATTTCTTCTTTTTTTTTTTTTTTTTTAGACAGGGGTGGGGTTGGGGGGTAGGTGGGATGTCTGTGTAGCCTTGGCTGTCCTGTAGACCAGGCTGGCCTTGAACTCATAGAGATCCACCTGCCTCTGCCTCCCAAGTACTAGTATTAAAGACATGTGCCACCATCACCTGGATATATATTTTTTTTTCTTTTTTCTTTGTCAAGTCTAGATTGGCCTCGAGCTTGAAATCCTCCTGCCTCTCTCTCCTGATTGCTGGGATCACAGATGTGTGTGTGTTACCATGCCTGGCATAAGGCACTATCTCTTAATGAGTAACAATGCTAACTGCCATCTTGAAAAAACGTTTAAAGATAAACTGAATATTCTTTTCTTGGCTACAAGAAAAACTAAAACTTTATACAGTAATGAGTTCTCTTGTGAGCAATCAGCACAGCCACCATGAACTAAGTAACCAGACATACTACATCTCCTGACTCAGCAACATCAGGTCCAGAATTTCATCTACGGCACAGCAGATCAAAGGGCCTGGACTACAGACTCAACTTATTTTACAAAGAATGTATCTTTTCAAAAAGATTCATGAACTTACCCCTGGCATATACTCCATAAAGATGGAGAGTGTTTTCTCCTGAGGATCCCTCAAGCAGCCATAATACTGAACAATTCGGTCGTGTAGCAAGTTTTTCAACAACTGAATTTCACACTCAAGTGCATTTACTTCCTGAAAGACAGAACTCCTGCTAAGGCTTTTTAATAAAATGCTATCATATTTGTTTCTCTGTCTGTATGTGCATGTTCATTCATATTTGCACCATCAAAGATAAGTGGAGGTCAGAGGACAACTTGCAGGAGTTAGTTCTGTCTTCCCATCATGTGGGTCTGCAGGAGGTGGATTCTGAGTATTGATCTAAGGTTGACAGGCATGGTGGCAAGCACCTTTACTTGTTAAACAATTTCACTGGCTCAACATTAAGTCTTTACAGCACCATAGTAAACACAAAGCACTCTTAGTTCATAGACTATCATGATGATATGAAATGTTCACTGTACATAGAATATTTTAGTCTCTAATCAATTTTTTAGAAAATTTTAGTTTTCTAATGTGTGTGAATTTGCCTGAGTTTATCTGGATCAGGTGTGCAGTGCCTTCAGAGACCAGAAGAGGGTGTTAGACCACCCCTAGAACTAGAGCTACAAACAGGTGTAGGCCTCCATGTGGGTGTTACAAACTGAGCCTGGGTTGTCTGGAAGAGCAACAGGTGCTCTTTGAGCCATCTCTCCAGAGCCACAAAACTTTTATTTAACAGCACCCGGTGGTTTGCTAAAGTAACACCAGGTCAAACTAAGAATACAAATGAAGCACTAAAACAGCTGATCATTTACTACAACCCACAAATTTCACCATGTTGTTATACTAAATTTTAAAATGTTTTATGTACACTTAATCATTTCTGCGTGTTGGGTGGGTGCACACACATGCTACAACACAATTGTGGAGGTCAGAGAACAACTTGTGAGAGTTGGCTCTCTACTACCATGTGGCTTCTGGGGACTGAATCAGGTGTCTAGGCTTGGAGTAATCTTAGTAGCCCTGTTTTTGGTTTTGAGTTTTTTTCCCCCCTCCAAGAAAAAAATGCTTTGTGATGGCTAAGTAATTAATCTGCATGGTGACTTTTACCTTGCTGGTCTCCGGGCTGTCAGGGTTAAACTGAACTTGTTTAACAGCCAACTCTCTTCCGGTATCAACATCGTAACAGAGGTAGACCCTACCAAAAGCTCCTTGGCCAAGCAGTTTGCCCAATCTCCAGTTTGTTGGAGCTCGAGGTGCTGAAAAAAAGTATTTTCTTAAAATGGAGTAGTCAAGTGCTATGCAGTAACATCCCTCAACATTCTAGATACAAGGGAAAATTATGACCATTTAATTTATAATGATCCCCATCTTTCAAAAATGTTCTCCCTATTCTTCTAAGAATTCTAACTAAAGTATCTCATGACACAGTTTTTCCCAGGAAGATTTTCTTTTCCCAGCTACAAAGTGACAGCCATCTTTCACTTAATCTAAGATGCCACCAACTATAAGATACCCTGTTTTCCAATTTTTATGGCAGCAAATTACAAGTATTTGTAAGTAGTTTTTTCAGTCCTACCTATAATACAGAAATCTGGAAAGAGTATCATTTCCCATCTCTATAGGAGAAATCAATCAATCAATAAAATTGTAACTTTATTTTATTTATGGGTGTTTTCCATGCATATGGCATGTGTACCATATGCATACAGTGCTGGAAGCCAGAAAAGGGCATGGGATATCCTGGAGCTGGAGTTACAGATGGTTGTGAACCACCTCATGAGTGCTGAGAATCAAAGCTACGTCGTCTGGAAGAGCAGCTAGTGCACTTAGCCACTTGAAACATCTCTCCAGCCCCTATAACATTTTTTTAAGTTTTGTCTGTTTTGAGACAGGGTCTCACTATGTAGAGCTGATTGCTCTGTAACTTGTTATGTAGCTCAGGTTGGCTTTGAACTTCTGGTGCTTCTGCTCCCAAGTATTGGAATTACAGATGTGTACTACCCCACCTGGAAAAAATTATAACCTTTACTGAACATTTTGGAAAACAGATTACAGGGCACCCAACTAACCTAAAATCTAAGGAAAAGGAGGCACTCCAATTAAAGAAAAGAAACTGTGAAGCTTCTTTTCATTCTGAAATCTATTCCAGCAAGTAAGGAAAGCTAAGCTCCCCTGTGAACAAGTGTGGGCTGCCATGATAGCACTGAACCACAGGAAAAGCAACTTTGCTGTGTACCTCCTCCCTGTACACACAGGAGGCAGAGATCATAGCCTTGGTAATCAAGGATAGAGAATGGAATGGCCCTGTGATAGACAGCCACCCTGAAAAGTAAGAGCCACTTCTTGGCATGATGACACATACCTTCAATCCTATCACTAAGGAGGCAGAGTCAGGTAGATTTCCCTTGAGAGTTCCGGGCCACCAGGGCTACAGAGTGAGATCTGAACCCCACCCCATCCCTCAGTCCCCCCCAAAAAAGCCCAAACAGCCAGAAACTTCTTGAAGAAGAGTAATGAAACCCGTTATCACTATGTTAGAGCAGTGGAGAAGAAAATGAAACAAAAAACCTTTGAGAATAAGGGCTGAAAAACCTGTAGCCTTGACCATTAAGAGGTTTTTCTCCTCCAAAAAGTGGGCATCATCTGTGATAAAGCCCATCTCTGAGAACTGAACGGGGCCTACTAAAGACTGAAGACATAGGCTGTCTCCCTTATCCTAGGCTTTTATAAGTAGCAGTAACCTACTGCTAAGGGAGCAGGGTGAGGACATAGAGAGTTTCCCTCTCTGAGAAGCAGACACAAAAAAGTACTAAATGCTGGCACTAGAGCAGGATTATTTATAAACCATCTAGAAAGTCATCTCAGAGGAATTTGAAGTCCATAGTGCCTAGGTATGGGAACAAACAAAATAACCAACCCAGTAAACTAGGCATCTACTGACTCAATTCATCATAAAAATGAACTAGGTAGAAGAGTTGTACATATGCCCAAGCATAAATTTTATTTATCTCAGTCTTCATTATCATATAAGTAACATCTTGAATTCCATGTAAAATTATAAAAAGCATTAAAAAGCAAACTTGAAAAACAAACCAAGCTTGGTGGTGGTGGCACAAGCCTTTAATCCCAGAACTCGGGAGGCAGAGGCAGGTGGATCTCTGTGAGTTCAAGGCCAGCCTGGCCTATAAAGCAAGTTCCAGGACAGGCTTCAAAAGCTACACAGAGAAAGCCTATCTCAAAACACAAACCAAAACAAACAAACAAAAAAACCAACACCCCCAAAAACAACACAAAACCCTAGGCATAGTAGTGTACACCATTAGTCCTAGCACTCTGAAGGGGGAAGCAGGTGGATCTCTGTGAGTTCAAGGCTAGCCTGGTCTACGTAGGGAGTTCCAGACTAGCCAAGGCCACAGAGACCCTGTCCAGACTGGGGGATTGATATCACAAAAGAAAATAATCAGCATAACCAGACTCAAGATAACTCAGGAAATTGAAATTTTGAATAGGCTGAGGATGTAGCTCAGTGGTAGCCTGCACAAAGCATTGGTTTTGGGGTTGGGGGGGTTGTTTTTTGAGACAGGGTTTCTGTGTGTATCCCTGGTTGTCCTGGAATTAACTCTCTAGACCAGGCTGATCTCAAACTCAAGAGTTCCACCTGCCTCTGCCTCCCAAGTGCTGGAATTAAAGGTGTGTGCAAACACCACACAACTTTCAATGGGTTTAATTTTCACAACTACACACAAAAGCAATTTAAAATTAAAATAAAAACACAAAAACATATGGTAGCTGAAGAGATGGTTTAGCAAGTAAGAGTGCTTGCTGCTCTTGCAGAGGATACATATTGGATGGCTCACAATCACCTATAACTCTTCCAGCTCCAAGGAATTTGATGTCCTTTTATGGTCTCCATTAGAACTGCATTTATGTGCTTAGCTCGGTATCTCTCTCTCTCTCTTCTCTCTCTCTCTCTCTCTCTCTCACACACACACACACACACACACACACACACACACCTAAAAATAAAAATATGAAATCTTTTAAAAAACCAATTAATATGTTAAAGGTCCAAATGGAGAAGAAAGACAACATGGAAGAACAGATATATAGAGTCAAATGAAACTGCTGGAAATGAAAATGTCCCTTCAATAAGATCATAAACAAGTAAACCTTTAAATCCCAGACTAGGGAAGTAGAGAGAGGAAGATCAAGAGTTCAGGGTCATCTTCCAATACTCTGGGAATTTGAGGTCGGCTTGGAATACATCTCAACATCCTGAATCACAAATCAAAAGAGAAAACTCTCAAAAGAGAGCAAGAGTGAGAGAACAAAGACAAGGGCATAGGTGCAGAGTACAGGACCAATGAGGAAATATATAAAGCAGCCACAGACAGGAAAGAGCACACTGTTTGCTAAGGAAAGAAGACAAAAATTAAAACTGAATTTCTCTTTGAAAAATATGTAGACCAGAAGACAAGATATGATTTGAAAGTACTGATTTTTTTAGGGAAATCTACATACAGAAAAATATCTTTTAAAAAAATTAAGGAAAAATAAGGTCTTTTCAAACAAATGTTAAATGAATGCATTATGAATAGACTTCTATTACAAAAAAGGGTTAAATTCAATTCTCTAAGTAAGAAGAATTTCATACTGAATCTTGATTCTATATGAAGATCTACAGAAACAACTAAACTGAATGAAAGACATCAAAGATTTTCCTTCCTATTCTTTTTTATTATTATTTATTTTATGTGTATGGGTGTTTTGCCTGCATATTTGTCTGTCCATCATATGTCTGCTTAGTGTTCTCAGAGACCAGAAGAGGACATTAGGCTCTCTGGGACTGGAGTTACTGATAGTTCTGAGTGGCCACATGGGTGCTGGGAATTGAACCTGGTCCTCTGGAAAAGTAGCCAGTGTTCTTAATTGCCAAGCCAACTCTCCAGACCCTTCCCTCTTATTTTCAATCTCTTTAAAGATAGCTGCCAAGAACGGTGAAATAGCAATATAGTATGGGATTATAGGTATAAAAATAAAGAAAGACAATACTAGAAAAAAGAGGTTCAGATCATACAAATTTTGCTACAATATATGTCCTTGAGCTGGAGCAGGTAAAAATACTCTTGACATAATAAAGTTCAAATACTTTGCAATTTGATCTCATTTACCACTATAGTCCTATTATTTCAATAAGATATCCTCATGTCACTGGGTGGTAGTGACACGCCTTTAGTCCCAGCACTCAGGAGGCAGAGGCAGGTAGATCTCTGTGAATTCGAGGCCAGCTTGGTCTACAAAGCTACACAGAGAAACCTAGTCTCAAAAAATATCCCCATGCCAGTAAAAATGTCTGTGAGAGTGTTTCCAGAGAGGATTAACTGAAAAGGGAAGATCCAATCTGAACATGGGTGTCAATTATCCCATGGGCTGGGAACCCCAGACCAAGATAAAGGAACAAAATGAACTCGGGA